GTAGCATCTGGGGTCTTAAAAGCCTGTGAGCAGCCATCTAAGATACTCCACTGGTCTCACCCCTTCGGGAGCAAGGGAGAATGAAGAGAACAAGATACAAGGAAAAGATTAGTCCAGAGGACTAATGGACCACAGCTACCACGGCCTCCACCAGACTGAGTCCAGCACAGCTAGATGGTGCCCGGCTATCACCACTGACTGCTCTGACTGGGATCACAATAGGGGGTCCTGGACAGAGCTGGAAAAGGATGTAGAACAAAATTCTAACTCACAAAAAAAAAAGACCAGATTTACTGGCCTCACAGACTAGAGAAACCCTGAGAGTATGGCTCCTGGACACCCTCTTAGTTCAGTGGTTAATTCACTTCCAAAGTTCACCGTTCAGCTGGGGACTGGGCAGCCTCATAAAACAAAACAGGACTAATGAGGCACAGCACTCCAGGGACAAGGACTAGAAGGCAGGAGGGGACAGGAAAGCTGGTGATAGGAACCCAAGGTTGAGAAGCGACAGTGCTGACATGTTGTGGGGTTGTTAACCATTGTTATAGGGCAATATGTGTACTGTTTAATGAGAAACTGTTCTGCAAACCTTCATCTAAGGTACAAAAAAAACCACAACAAAACAATTATCTATGTGAGAACAAATTGACATAAGCAACTCAAAAGGTTTGATGAGAAGCCTAGGCGGCAGTGAGTTGAAAGTAATTGTGATTGAATAATTTGGAAAAGGGTAGTGAGAAGAGCAGCACAACTGGAAGAATGTAATCAATGTCACTAAATTGTACGTGCAGAAACTTTTGAAATGGTGTAACTTTGTATATATTTTCACCAAAAAAAAAGGTCCTCCAAGGTCAAGAAGGGAGAGTGTTGACATGTCATGGGGTTGTTAACCAATGTCACAAAACGATATGTGTACTGACTGTTTAATGAGAAACTATTTATTCTGTAAACCTTCATCTAAAGTACAATAAACAAAAATTTTAAAAAAAGATTACATCTTCTAAACTAAGTTTGTGGTAGGATTTGGATGATTATAAAGAGGTATTTTCCTTTGCTGAATAATGTTAACATAATTACATTCTAATTACTGGCATGAAATAATAAGGTATTTTAGTTTCAACCTAATTAATTATAATAGTAAAAAAAGTTATATAGTCATGCCAGCTAATTAATAAATGTTTAGTATCATACACAGAACCATTTAACAGAATAGCTGTTGTCCACTGTTTAATATGTAATGGCAAATGCAAATTACAGAAATCTAATTTTTAGGTACTAGTTATGGAATTTGGTTTAGTAATAGTGTAGTTTGTTATCAACTCTTGGCAATGGCAACAGAGTATCCAAGTAGTTTGTGGAATGAATTGTGGTCCCTTAAAGTCCAGTCTGTCCTCAATGATCTCCCTCACTAGCTTGCCAAAGTACCACTCTGTCAGACTACTTAGGCTGAAATTCCCAGTATTTATTACTCTCTCGGTGTACAGTGTTCCCCCTCTCAAGCTCAAGGATTTTAATCTTTAAAATCTACATATTTCTTAATAAAGAGTATTACACAGCCTCTGTGAAAACTTCAAGTAGAGAATATCAAAACATGGTAAAATACTATGAGCTGGCTCTGTCAGCTTTCTGCATATGTATCTCAGCTCTCTCACTCATAATGAATGCGAGACAGCAATTCCAGGACACAGGTCATTTTTGCTTCAACTTTCTCCAGCAATCCCAAAACCATACTGCAAAATCTTTATTCTCACTCTGCCAAATATATTCTTTCATTTTCACTTCCTAACTACCGTGTCTCTCTCTCTCTCTTAGTTATTTCTAATCTTAAAATTCTAATTTAAAAAACTCCTGTGAGAAGGGTGTACCAAAGTAAATACCTACATAATACAATTTAGGAAAGAAATACTTTAAATACGTAGGTATTAACTTCAGATGACCTATTAAATACATTATGCTAAAGAACTTATAAGTCAAATTAAAAAACAAAAACAAACTCAGAGAAAAATAAGCAAAAGACTTAAAAAGACGTTTAAATTTATTGGTCATGCCAAAATGGCCAATAAACACAAATAGCTCCTCAACTTCATTAGTCATCTGTTGTTGTTGTTGTTGTGTGCCGACAAGTTGATTCCAACTCATAGCGACCCTACAGGACAGAGCAGAACTGTCCCATAGTGTTTCCCAGACTATAATCTTTGCAGGAGCAGATCGCCAGGTCTTTTCCTGTTGAGCTGCTGGTGGGTTAGAACTGCCGACCTTTTGGTTAGCAGCTGTTATGGACTGAATTGTGTCCCCCCAAAATGTGTGTCAGGTTGGCTAGGCCATGATTCTTAGTCCTGTGCAGTTGTCCACCATTTTGTGATCTGATGTGATTATCCTATGTGTTGTAAATCCTAACCTTGATGATGTTAATGAGGCAGGATTAGAGGCAGTTATGTTAATGAGGCAGGACTCAATCTACAGGATTAGGTTGTATTTTGAGTCAATCTCTTCTGAGATATAAAAGAGGGAAGTGAGCAGAGAAGGCAGAGACCTCATTACCACCAACAAAGAAGCGCCGGGAGTGAAGCACATCCTTTGGACCCAGGGTCCCTGTGCCGAGAAGTTTCTAGATGAGGGAAAGATTGATGACAAGGACCTTCCCCCCAAACTGACAGAGAAAGAAAGGCTTCCCTGGGAGCTGGTGCCCAGAATTCAGACTTCTAGCCTCCTAGACTGTGAGAGAATAAATTGCTGTTAAAGCCATCCACTTGTGGTATTTCTGTTACAGGAGAACTAGATAACTAAGATAGCAGCTGAGCACTTAAATACTGCACCCCTAGGGCTCCTTGGTTATTAGTCATTAAAAAACAACAAAACAAAACAAAAAACCATTGCTGTCAAGTCAACTGCATCTCATAGCAACCCTACAGGACAGAGGAGAACTGCCCCATAGGGTTTCCAAGCAGCACCTGGTGGATTCGAACTGCTAACATTTTTGTTAGTAGTCAAGCTCTTAACCACTGTGCCACCAGGGCTCCTATTAGTCATTACAGGAATGCAAATTGAAACCACAATGAGATACCACCACAATGAGATACCACCAATTAAAGGGACTGACAATGCCCAGTGTTGGTGGTGATGTATAACTAGAACTCTCTTAACACTGCTGGTGGGACTGAAAATTGGTACAACCACTTTGGAAAACAGTAGGAAAAAAAATTATCAAAGCCAAACATATACTTACAGTATGACCCAGCAATTCTACTTCTAGCTATATATCTAATAGAAATGAGTACACATATTCACCAAATGAAAGACTTAAGAATGCTCATAGTAGTATTATTTAAAATAGCCCCCTCCCAAACAAAACAAAACAAAACACAACCCTAATATTCATCAACAGTAAAAAGAATAAATTCTGGTATATTTATACAATATAGACTTTATACAGCAATGGACATGAACAAACTATTGTTATATGCAACAACACAGATGAATCTCACAAATTTAACAAAGGGCAAAAGAAACTAGCTTCCATTTACACAAAGTTCAAAACCAGGCAAAACTAATATGTGGGTAAAATAGGAGGTGTAATGAGGGACTTCTAGGGTGCAAAGAGGGACTTCTAGGGTGCTAGGGCTCAAGCGTAGCAACGATTCTGAGGAGGGTGCAGGACTGGGAAGTATTTCGTTCTGTTGTACATTCACTATTAGTTGGAACCGACTTGACAGCACCTGACAACAACAGCAACAGTAGTGTTGTATTTCCTTATGTGGGTGGTAATAAGATGGGTTTGAAAATTCATTGAACTATATACCTATGATTTGTGTTATTTTTATTTATGTATATTATACTTTTAAAAAGTCTATTAAAAATAATATATTATGTATATTTATTATACCTGGTGTAGGAAGGACTGTGATTAAAGTATCTTCTTTAGGCTTCTTATATTACCACATTTGACTTCTACATTATTAGCTTCTTAAATTTGTAAGATACTAGAAAAGAACTTGGCCCTAACAGGATAACATTAGATTTAGATACATTTGTATGCAATATGAACAATGAGCCCTGGCCTCTTAAGAACAATATAAGGGTAAGGGAAAGAATCTAGGCCATTGTCCAATACTGTAGCCATAAGCCACTGTGGCTAGTTAAATTAAAATTAAATTAAAAAATTCAGGTTCCCAGTCTTGACAGCCACGTTTAAGTGCTCAATAGCTACATGTGTGGGACAGCACAGAGAGTTTAATGGACAATACTGTGTCTCTAGACCTTGGAGGGAATATGATATTTAGAATCAGCTTCCAAGTGAACTCTTCTGCTTAGGAATCAAAACATAAACAAGAAAAGTTTGTATAAGATAGGATGTCCAATTCAACCAATGCAAAGCCCAGGCGAAAGACTAGTGGGAGAAGGGCAGTATCTGTAGAATTTCTTCTGAATTGCTTTATAACAACTTTTTTCATTTTGCAACATAGAGCTCTTTGATATTACTCTATCCAATCCCATTAAGAGGTATATTTAATTCATTTTCTTAACTATATAATTTAAATTGCTATAAAATAATTAATATAACAAAGTAAATACTATTTCACGGTTGCAGTTTCTGTATTTTATATTTAAATTTTTAAATTAACAACTCATTGAGACATTAGCATAAAAATAAATTAAGATAAATTATAATTTACCATTTAGTAATTCAATGAGTGCAGGAATTATCCCAGATTTGGCTAGCAATGCAGCACAAGAGTCATCCATAGATACAGTTCCAATCATTATAACCACTTCTAAAACAAGGTCATCTTCTGCAGCACCTAGTAAAGTGAAATCATAGAAAGTTTTCACTGAAATGTCCTGATCCACATCCTTTCATACTATCAAAATTTCAATGCACAGAAAAGATAATGAAGCTGTTAAATTAGTTCCTATAAATCCTTGACATGCTTGCAAATTGTTCCTTTTTCCAAATTTCCATGTTCATTGATGACAGTGATGGTAGTGGGGGCAGGAAGAGAAGTGGAAATAAATCTTGGAAAATACAACTGAATGATACAGAGAATAAAACACAGAGAAGTAATAAAGTACTCATGTGAGTGCTTTGAAGGACTGTGCATGCATGTGTGTAGAGGGGGTGGTATTTTGTTAAAAAAAAAAAGGGTAGGATAAAACAACAACAAAAGCAGGACAGGGAAGAGAAACTAATATTAAGAGAATATATTGTTAGTAAAAAGGGAGGATAATTGGGAGACCCAATAACCACCCTTCCAGGAGAAAAGCCAGAACCAGAGGTGTGGGAAATAAATACATTGCCTAGCGTAATGTTGTTGCGTCTGTTGAGTCAATTCCAACTCACAGCAACCCCAAGTGACAGAGCAGAACTGCCTCATAGGATTTCCCAGGTTGTAATCTTTATGGAAGCAGATGGCCAGGTTTTTTCTCCTGCAGAGATGCCAGTGTGTTCAAACCGCCGACCTTTCAGTTAGCGCTTAACCACTGTGCACCAGGGCTCCTTCCTAGTATAACAGTCACAAAATACTGCACTAGTAGCCTTTTACACAACAGAAAAAAATAACTTAGCAACTATGCAAAAGTAAAATACTTAGCACAGACCTGGTTTTAGTTTATTCTTGAGGTATGGAACCAACTTGTACTCCTTAAGAACCAATTCCCAGTCTAAGTCTGGGATGGTCAGATTTGCAAGAGTTCCTAAACATTCTATCACAAACTCCTCCTCTTCATCATTAGAGATCTGGGCTGCAAGGTCCCCAACATAATCCTGAATAAGACAGAGAATTTTAATACAAATTTAAAATATGTTTTCTGCAGAAGAATCAATCTAATAATTAACACATAGGAAGAAAAATACAGATCAAACATGATTTGCTTGTTTTAATAATCTTGAACTAAGTTGCTAAGGTTTAAGGCATGAAGACTGGGGTGGGTAGGTAGCGGTAAGAAACAGTAAACCAAAACGACAACATTAAAATGCAGGTTCAGATTTCTAGGAGCCAATCTTACAAAGAAGTCCACAACAGAAGAGCCAATTTAGGTCATCAGTTAGTATTTGATCAGAGCTTAGTAAGAGCTACACTTTCAAATGCAGCACTTTAAAACTTCAATTCTCAGTTTATTTTGACAGACAGTAAGCCAAAAACTATACTTACAATAAATAAATTTTTAGTTGGTCCATCGTGCTGGGAAATGTTCCTAATCATTTTCATCAGCAGTGGATCCTTGAATTTCAGAGCCCTCTTCATGAGCATCTTAAGCCCATTTCCTTGTAAAGAACAACAGAAAATTCCCCAAATAAAATTAATGTTAACTTTTTTTTTCAGTTCACCGTTCTCAAGAAAGAATCTATGTACAGTGGAATGCATAAATCATAAGTGTACAATTCGATTACTTTCAACCTACAAGTACAACTGTAAAATACACCCACTCCTCACTTATTGACATGGTTAGGTTCCAAAAGACCAGGCCTTTATGTGAAAATCAGCGTTGGGTGAAAATGGAGGATTTGTCTTTTTTTTCTGTTTTTAGACTATCCATTTGTTTCATTTATTTAGAAAATATGATCATAGCAATAATAACAGCTAAGATTTACTGAAGTGCTCATCACTGTGACAAGACCAGTTATGGATTATTGCTCTGTGGAGAAGAAGGTTTGGAGGAGACAAAGCCAGATAAAGTTGGGCTGTGTGACTGGAGGGCCCTCTGCTGAACCACTTCACCTTCCTTCTGTGCTGGATCAGAGCTTCTCTTGCGGAGCTGCCTCCAGGCTCCACTCCCACCCCTGCAAGCCCTGCATTCACGATCCTGGAGCCTGCTCTGCCCTTCAGGCCTGGCGAGTTACTGAGGCTTGGGGCTTCCTGTGAAGGGTACTGGGAGCCTGGCGCATATCTGGCCCCTCCAAAGCGGAGGCTTCAGGCCCAGTTCGGCTTGCTCTGAGATGTCATCAAACTAGCATGCAATTCTTCAAAACACCCTCTCCAATGCCTCTTTCTTTCCTCCCTTTCCACTCCATGGCAATTTCGAGCTGTAGGGCCTCAGGCTGCACAGGAGCTGGGAGCCCAGAACAGGTGCCCGCTGGCTTGGTGCTGCCTGAGTCCGCCTGGAGGCCGTGGCCATGGAGGAGGCCACCCTGTGAGCAGGTGGACGAGGCATCCTCACCGGCAGGAGTGAGCGGATGGTGCGAGGCAGCACAGGGCTGCTTCCCGGAGGGCCCCCGCCCCTCTTCAAGGGAGAGGATGCTCTGCAGCTCAACTGTCATTGTTGCCATGCCCGCTGCCTCAATAATCCACAAAATAGTAGACAGTAGATTTTTTTACTATTGTCGTACATGCGAAACATCAGCTAACAAGATAGTCGGTAAGTGAGGAGTAGGTGTATGTCCATTCACTCCAGAAAGTTCCATTGTGCCACCTTCCCGTCAATCCTATTCCCCAAATGCAATCATTTTTCTTCCTCCCCCTTTCTCTAACCCCTTGCCTCTCCTTTTTCCCTTCCCCCTCCTCCTTCTTTTAATACAAGTTCGTTTTGCCTGTTCTAGAACTTCACATAAATGGAATTATATACTAGGTGCTCTTTTATCTCTAGAAAAAAAAGAAAAAAACCAAACTCGTTGCCATCCAGTTAATTCCCTATAGGACAGAGTAGAACTGCCCCATAGGGTTTCCAAGGAGTGGCTGGTGGATGTGAACTGCTGACCTTTTAGTAGTTGAGCTCTTAACCACTGTGCCACCAGGGCTCCATCTCTAGAATATCCACCACAAATTTAGAAAAAAATCTAAATACTCTTTAACCTAGAAAAAAAATTTCAGTTCTAGGAATTTATCTTAAGAATATACAAATGGAAAGTGATAAAGATTGAGATAAACGAATAATGATTACAGCATTGTTTGTTTCAGAAAAGAACTTGCAACACACTAAATATCCAAAGTAGCATATTAAACTATGGCAAATCTTTACAATGGACTACTTTGCAGATAATTAACAATGATGTTTTAGAAAAGTATTTAACCACATGAAATGATATCTAAGATATTATTAATTTAAAAAAAGCAAGTGACAATATATAGAGAAAACACCATTTTCATTTAAAAATATGCAGAAGCATTACACAAAAATTTAACCTATGATGATCTCTGGATGATGAGAGTAAAGATTTTAATGTTTTCCTGTTTGCTTCTTTACTTTTTATTATAAACATGTATTATTTTTTAAACAAGAAAAAAACTATTGCGCAGTCTATGAAACATTATAATGTATGTCAGGCCATTTGCCAAGCTATAGAAACAGTAACCTAATTTAGTTGTATGTATATCCTTAAAAAAACTTACACTGCAATTGATCGCTTCCTTAGTAAAATATACAAATAAAAGGTTTCATTTCATTTAGAAAATGTTAAAAAAAAAAAAAATCACATATTAATTAAGGCTAACCTTCCATGGTTTATAAAATGTTACTGAACGGTAAGTGCCTCCACTCATGCTATAAGAATATTCTGAGTTTATCTGACCTTTCAGGAGTATAGCTATAATGAAGAAACTATTTAAAATTAGTTCTCACATGTCCACTCTAATTCTTAATTTCTTATTATTGATTTTCATTCATATGCCAATTCCCATATGCTAAAGAGGTTACCTATGAAGCTCAAAGGTACTAACCTTCACAGATAAGCTGTACATTCCTCTTGTTAGCGGCAAGATTAATGCAGAAAGAAATGAGTTCCAAGTCAATTCGTTCATCTGAACATTCAAAAAGCATCTTCATTAACTAGCAAGAAACACAGGCCATACTTTACTCAACAACAACAACAACAACAAACAAAACCCAAAAGCAATATTTTATCACAATGTGTCATCTTAGATGGTATGCTGAAAATAATAAAATATACTTTGCATTTTTCAAGGCTGTCACTGTTGAATAACTAAATGAATAAATGGTTAATGAACTACTAGATGCTCAGCATTAAATATAACTCTTCCACTTACAGGGGTGAATACAAGAGAAATATTAGATAAAACCTCTGGACTCAAGGAATTTAAAATAATGTTTGGAAGCAAAGCATTCCGATCAAAGAAAACAGCTTGTGCAAAAGTCGTAAGACAGGAAAGAACACAATTTTTCTGAAGAACAGAAAGAAGGAAAGCAAGCTAGAATGAGGGAAACTGTGCTGAGAAATAAGAAGGTAAAAGCCAGATCTTGCAGGGTCTTGAAGTATACATGAAGGATTTTGGGCTATATCCTAAGGATAATGGGAAGCCATTGAAGACTTTAAATAAGAAAGTGTCCGAGTAAGATCTGTGTTTCAAAAGATCTGGCCAGTGTAGACTGAAACAGGACAAGAAAATGTTAAGAAACCACTTAGAAGGCTAGTAGAATACTCCAGGTAAGGTGATGGCTGCCTGGACTAGGGTAGCGCAATGGGGAACAGAAATAAAAGAACGGATTAGAGATATTTTTAGAAAAGAGAATCAAACTTGAAGTTAATAACTGACTTAATATCTGCGCTAAGGAAGAAGAGGAGTCAAGGACGACTTCCAGGTTTCTACACTGAGCATGACGTGGATGGTAGTGTTAACATTTACCCAAAGAGGGAAACTGCAGTAGGAGGAAACTTTAAAGGGAAGATAGTGATGTTGGTTTTAGATATGTTGATCTTAAGCTCCCTATAGGGTAGTCTAGTATAGATATTCAGTAGAAAGTTAGAAATGCAGGCCTGAGTTTAGAAAAAATGATGGACTAGAGGTATAATTTTAGGAATTGTTATATATGGTTGATAACTGAAGCTGTAGGCTGGATCCAATCACTTGGGCAGGGGTATAAAATGAGAGGAGAACTCTATTTAATGATAAGAGAAAGGGAAGGAGGGTCTAAGAAGCAGCAGCCAGAAAGGTAGCAGGAAAATGTAGTTGAGCTATGCCATTTAACAGTAATCTAGGATTGTCATGGTGAGGGGTGGTTATACTAATAAAGGAGAAATAAACAAATTTCATGCTATAGTTTTGAGAAGCTAGTCTTTATTATTGGTAAATCAACAAATTAGCTTAATGCATATTATTAAAGACATTTTTAAGTCCAAATTCCTACGGATGTTATTCCTAAAATTCATAATCTAAAATTTTCTTATTTTTTATCTCAGGGAAATATCTTTTTTGGTTAACATGCCTTCATGAATCCAGCACAGTGTCCTGTATATAGTAAGTGCATAATAAATACTTATTGACTACATAGACCCCCATTCTGTTAAATATTGTTTTGATTACTTTGTGTGAGTTCCAGATAACTTCTGAGTTTAGAAAAGGATACAAGGTAAACATATGAAAATCAACTGTATTTCTATATGCTAGCAATGAAGAACTGGAAACCCAAATTAAAAACACTATACCATTTACAACTGTTCCAAAAAAAAATCAAATACTTAGTCATAATTCTAACAAAACACGTACTGGATCTGTACGCTGAAAATAGCAGGTAAATGTTAGCATGTATCATCCCTTTTCCCAGAGGGCAGTTCTTTAACCACAAATGTTGCTGCTAATGGAATCTTTGGGTAAAGAATCATCACCTTAGTAATGCAACAGAATAAAAAGATTCTAGGGCAATAATAATCTTAATTTACTGGGTATATATTTAACAGATTTTGCTTCCTATATGTATATTAACTGCTAATTAAAAACATTACAAATTAGTAAAAATGTAAGTCATGACCCTCTAATTAATGTACTTAGTGTGTTTTTCATACACTAACAATCTATTACAGACTACTTCCAAAATTTTACTTATATCAAGAAGATTTTTTATAGTAATGAAAATCTTTTATATCAAAGCACAGCTTTAAGAAGGCAAGATATTTGTTGCTAACAAGAATTATTTTCTTCAAATTATGTAACCCTCGTAATATGAAAATTGCCCTTAAAAATGGGGTTACAAGTGATTTGTGTAGAACCTGAGGACATTATTTTGGTAATTTCCATGTTAAATCCTGTGTAGAAGTTAAATAATCAGGAGCTACATTTAAAAAAAAAAAAAAAAATGCATGGCTTGAAATCTGACCTGACCCCTCCAAAAATTCAAAAGAAATTAGGGCTAAATGTGAATGGAATGTATGTGATATAGAATTAGTTTTCATAATAAGAAAGAGAAACATTTCAATTTGAATTAATTTTAAAAGTTTAGTTCAAACACCACGTGCAACACTGTATTGAATTTGATTGCTACCTATGGCACTTCAAAAGTAAGTGTAATTGCTGCCAACTAGGAAATATTAAAATTAGATTTGTTATGTTTTAACTATGTTCATTGTCATCTTTTACTGATTTAACAGGAAGGCACTAAAAGGGCTTCAGCCTGTGCAATGAAGAGGCAACAGTGTTCAATCAGACAAGTCCCATATTGAGTATCAGATACCAAAGCCCCGCGACTGAAATCACTGTGTCTAGACTCTCTGGCACCTGACTTCACTTATTTACCAGTGACCAGAGGCCAACCCCCACAGCTCTCTGTATTCACATACACCTCTACCTCCTCCACCCCTTACCCAAACATCTTTGAATGATTATGCCAGAACTTTGCATGCCTCAGGAATCTCTTCTGACTGGCTACTCCCTAACTCTGCTGTTTGAAGTGATGCTCTGGCTTCTGAACTTCAGCAGATAATGGCAGGCAAGAGCAAAGGGGGCTGTCAGAAAGGACGTTTACCAGCATTCAGCTAAAAAGAAGCAGGTAGATCAAAGAGGGGCTAAATAGGACAACTGTGGTCGAAAACATGTGCATAGCTATGAGATTCCTGCACACTGTTCTAGGGTAAAATATTAAATAACACCATGACATCACTACCTAACCATGTACTTTGATTAGCCATTCTATTACCAATAAATACTTTTTATAAGCATCTGGTTGGCATTTGCACCTATTTAAACAAAACATGTCTCAGAGGTCTAAATAACAATGAACTGTTAATGTCTTTTAACTATTATTAGAATACAACCATTAACTCCTGGTTAACCTCAAGTATGCTTACCTGAAAGAATCCACCCACTTAGACCATTAAGATCATATATAAAGAAAGACTTGATGTGACCCAAAGATTTTGCAGAATAGTGACATAATAGGGGAAGAAAATTAGAATACATTGGATAATTAGAGGCAATAAAGAAGCCAAGCAATGTAACATTGAGAAGGACTATAAAGCATGTTGTATATATAATCACTTACTCTGAATGTTAAATATTTTATAAAAGTGAATTATAAATCTAATTATAGATTACAGAATTAGTTTTCATAATAAGAAAGAGAAACATAAAACACATAAAAGAAGATATTCAAATCAGACTATGAATAGGTCCAAACTGATGAGAAAGATTTGATATTTTAACTAGTAGTTTGTATAGTGTTTTACAGTTTATGCAGTGCCTTTACATATATTATCTAATGCAAATAAAGAACATAACCATATTTCACGTTCTTTTCGATCACTGAAACTAATATAAATTACAGTTCACTTTTATAAATATTTACCATATTCTAAAGCTACTGCTTTCCTACCCTCAAAGTAATTTTCGGCTTTTCATTTGAAAAATTCATGTACAATACTTGAAGATCATTAGTAAACAAAAATTAACGTGCATAATTTCAAACATAAAAGAATATTATTTTAACTCTATGAATTTCTAAACTTCAGATATGGCTTTCTTTAATAAGTAGGTTAATTAGTTGCAATCACAAATGAGTTGAAAGCTTTACTAACATTATAAACATTACTTTGAGTAGCCAATACCTATGAAAGGAGTATCTTTTTAATTCCTGAAAGAAGCTTGGGAATTTCAATTTAATTCCTGATTTGTTTTTCATGACTTCTATTTTGCAGAGCATGTGGCACTGGGTGGCAATAAAACCATATCAACTTTTCCCTAAACATGCCAAAACTGAATCCTGAAGTGCAAGTTGCAGGTTGGATGCACTTCTGGAACAAATATATTCTACAGTATCATTTTGTTTTCTCAAAATACGACCTCATACTAAAAAGGCTTCAAGATGTTTACAACATAATTTGGTAACATAACTTCACTATTCCCATTAGAGCTGAACTTTCAGAAAAAAAAAAACTTTGAACCTTGAATGAGTTTTTAAAGATTTTGTTCATAAAATACTACCAGACAACCAGTTGCCACGGCTGAGTCAATTCTGACTCATGGTGACCCCATGTGTGTTAGAGTAGAACAGTGCTGCATAGGGCTGCCAATGGCTAATTTTTCAGAAACAGATCGCCAGGCCTTTCTTCCAAGCTGCCTCTGATTTGAACCTCCATCCTTTCAGTTCTCAGCTAAGTATGTTAACTGTTTACACTACCCAGGGGCTCCTTTTATAAAATACAGATCGTAAATGTTCTGAAAACTCCATTGCAGACATGTTTGATTTAAGAACATTCTCTGGCAAGAAAACATGGATGAATATCATTCTTGAAAAAGTATAGAGGAACTTTCTATATACAAAGTTTTGTTGTTAGGTCTGCTGAGTTGATTTTCGACTCACAGTGACCCTATGTGACAGAGCAGAACTGCCCCATTGGAGTTTCTTGGCTGTAATCTTTACAGAAGCAGATCACTAGGTCTTTCTCCCGCAGAGCTGCTCGATGGGTTCTTGATTAGCAGCCGAGCACTTAACCATTGTGCCACCAGGGCTCCTTATACAGAGTTTTAAACTGCTGTAATAACAATGTCTCAAAAGTAACCCAAACAGGTCCTATTTCTGCTTGTTTTATTTAAAATAAATTTTATATTTTATATTTGAAATTATACATTCTCAGATAGGATAACTCCAAATTCAAAATTCAACAAAATAAGTTTTCCACCCCCTTTTTAGTTCTCATTTCTCTTTTATTTAATTGTTATTATCATTTTAATTGAATCTGGATAAAAACAGTCAATCTATGCAAGAATATTATTCTTGTTTGGCTGCTTTCCAATTCATATCCTGTAGTCAATGAAGTTCAGACACTAAATGGTATTGCAAAACAAACACCCTTGGAAACTGCAAAACAGAAACCCTCAGAACATATGGAGTAAGACCATAGTAAATCACCTGTAATCTCCATTTGACATGGCTACTCTTTTATTGAAAACTTGTTTGACAAAGAGTTTGATTCCAGTTAGCTTTGGCTACAGTCTAACATATGCTATCTCTATAAGAAGTTCTGCCTCTTTAGAGAAGATGTGCTGTATATTTTTTGAGGGATGTTGTTTTCCTATAAACAAGCATAATTAGTTTATCTTCTGATATGAAAGATAAGAAATTACCCTGGAAAGTGCATCAATTTTTAATTGCATGTAGGCAAAGGGTTAAAATTCTGGAACAGCAAATTCGATTTTAGAGTTGCTTTACCAATCTGGAATTAATAGAAGGATGGCAAAAAAAAAGAAAAAGAATAAAAAGGGAAATTATGGGCTTTTTAAAAATATTTTAATTATTTTTCAAGTAACATCCATTTAGTAACTCACATTAGGCTAACAAGGAATTGCCTAGTAAGAGTCTTAAGAGAAATTAGTATGACTTGCCATTCATATGCTTAAAATGTTTTTAAAAGTGTTATTTTTATTGTATATTATACATTCTGCAATTTTGTTTTTTCTATTTTAGAAAATCATTCTCTAAAAAATAATGTCATATTAAAAATCAGCCCAACTGGTGTCCAAATCTTCAGATATTCAAATTAATGGAGCTCAGTTTAATAAAGATTTAAGGCACATCAGTGATTCTATGAACACAAATTCCCAAGAGCAGAATCACATGTGTGGAATCTCTACACTGATAATATATTTCATATAAACACTTTCACATAACCCATAAAATATATGAAAAAACTGAGTTATAGAAAAAATCTTGAGGTGAGTGCTATAAAATTTTGTTTATAATACTTTTTATACAATAATTTTGGTAAAGTGTTTTCCCATCAGAGAATGCAAGGCATTGAAAACCATCAACTGTACACAAAATTAAACAGTAAATGACAAACTTGGAAGGTATCTGTAACATGACAAAGAGTTTAGTTATTATATATATAGATCTCATTTATCAATAATGAAAGTATTAACATGACAACAGAAAAATGGGCAAATAAAAATTTGTAATAGAATATGGATAATAAGCATATGAAAAAAATGTTCAACCTCTCTAATATTCACAAAATGCAAATGAAAAGAATGAGACACCACAATATCAGAGAAATGATAATAAACAGTGCTGTCAAAAGTGAAATGCTAGTTAGAAATATGTATTCCTAGAAGGTAATTTGACCATAATGTATCAAATACACAAGTGTTCATACTTGTTCACTTAGTACTTCTACTTTTAGGAATTTAAGTTAAAGAAAAATTCAAAAATGTGCATCAAGATTTATTACTACGATACTCATTCCACATGATTTCATTTGCTTATATATATGTGAAAAACTGAAAAAAAAAATTCAATGTACAATTTAACAATGGTTAAATTATGGTACATCCATGAAATACTATACAACCATGAGAAATAGTTTTTGAAGGCTGTTCAACAACATGAAAGAATATTTATGACTTATACAATATACTATTATATACACCATATAATGCCAATATATGAGTATTTCTTAAGTATGTGGAAGGAAAATGAACCAAAACATTAAATGGTCATATCTGGGTTTTATACTGTCCCATACTTTCCAAATTTTCTCTAATAAATTTATATTATTAATAAAAATATTTTTTTATTTTTAAAGAAAAAGTAGATTTGGCAAAATCAAGAGAAGAGAGTGAAAAATACATACTTCTTGAATATATTTCTTAAAACACTTAAACCACTTACCTGTGGTATACAGTCAGTGTATGCAAACATTGATTTAAAGCGGTCATCCATGCTTATGTGGTAGAGAATGCACATTGCTATTTGTTTGTAGTTTTCATTACCTGGGAATTAAAAAAAATCATGGATATGGTGATGGTGATGTATATATACATGTATACATATATATATATATATACATATTTTGGGGGAGTATGACATACTCAAATTAATGCACAATAATTTTTAAACTACTGAATCAAATCCTTATGTAACCCTAATCTGGCAATAAAATTGAGCTCCCTATTTCAATTCCAAAGCTTGGAGCACACTCATGTCATCTGTGAAATACTACCGATTTTCAAGAGAGAATGTCTATTTTTCAAGGTCAATTTTTGAAAAAAAGTTAATCACAGCTCTAATAATTAATTATTTTTAATAACCCAATATAAGCCAGATTGGGTCACTGGTTTTCCCACACTTATTGTTTTATCAAAATTTGTGATTAACTTAGTTCACTGACAGTGATGATGTATAACAAACTAAAAAATAGACTTGATTCCTATGAATCAGAAATTAGGAAAATTATCAAATGATAGAAGTGGAATAAGTATTTGTAACATAAAAAAATAATAAAATACATGACTAGAAAATATGAAAGACTATAAACTAAATATAGTCTAAGAACTGTTAGAACTTCTGAGGTAAGATTATTCTAATTTTAACAAACTTTGAAACTGAAAAAAAAAGTAAATGACATATCATAGATTTGAACAATCAAATGGAACTTTAATATGTCATGTAATTCCTCTACCTGCTTTCAAACAGACCATATTTTACAGACCTATTCATGACCTCAAAATCAGTGATAAAACTAGAGATAGAAAAGTTGTTCAGCTAAAAGTTTTATCCACATAAACAATATTCATTTAGAAAATTCTGGGCTATGAGAAATCCTTGTAGATCTTTAGAGTTAAAAAAACAAAAACAAGTGCATAAGTATATTTAGTTGATAAATAAATTGAAGAATATTTAAAAATACATTTTAACATGGAGAATAAATTGAACCATAGCACAAAATACTAAAATACTAAGTGTTTTTTAAAATATTGTTTTCTATTGTCATTAATAGTTTTCACACATTAGGCATACCCTCTCATGGTAGTCAGAAATTCTTTAGAGGACATAAACTTTGGTATTCTCACAAAGCTTAGCATAGTATGCGGAAGTTATCAATAAATATCTGTTGATTAATTCCATTTTTAATATTTAAACATCAGAGGATAAAACTGAAAATATAAGCACATAGTTTAAGAAAGAAATTACTGTCTATGACAGCTTCAGATATGAGTCAGAAGTGTTTTAAGGACTTTCAAGGAGTCTTTTAAAAGTAAGTTAAAAAAGTATCGTGGTCCACTATCTCTCAACTTTACTTTGTTCTTTCTTTACCACCTGATGTATTTTTATCTAATCTATAGGGTTGCTATGAGTCAGAACCGACTCAATGGCACCTAACAACAACAATAACGGGAAAATAAGGACTTTATTCAGAGCAACTACCCCAACTCCAAGAACAGTATCTAGCACAAAGTAGGTACTTACTATTTACTGACTTTAATAAAACAAGCAAACAAACAAAAAAAACAAACCACTGTGTTCAAGTCAATTTCAACTCATAGCGATCCCATTTGTGATAGACTTAATCCTTTATTAAGCATTTACCACATATAAAGTGCTATACTAAACACACTGTATACCATTTAATTTTATAAAAAATCTGTCAAATAAGTATTATCATTTCTTCATTTCAGATAAGGAACCCGAAGTTTAAAGAAAAATACTTGCCACACATCCTTGTAACTGGCTGAGCAGGGACTTAAACACAGGTCTCTCCAATTCCAAATCTTAACCAGGTTATATTACCTCTCTTAAAGTTAAACATTTATCTATCCTAAGGTGAAACTGTATTCGAAGTGAGATATTATTATCAGGTACAAAAGACTGATAATATACTGACTTATGACAGAATAAACCACATTTTAAAAATAGAATTCTGGAGTTGCGGCAAAATGGCGCTCTAGGCAGAAGCACCATGACGTCCCTCCACAGCAAAGATCCAAAAAACTAAGCTGAACAGAGAAAACAACAATCCTGAAACCCTAAAACATCAAATTAAGAGATAAAGAACTCAGCCAAGCACCAAATGAAGTGAGAAAACTGACAGAGAATGGAGAGTGAGGAGAGTTTCATGCAGAGGTCCCCTACAAGCTAACGCAGCACGGATCCACCATCTTGGACTCCTATCGGAGACCAGCAAACAGGGGGCACGAGAAAGCAGCCTCACGGAGCATGCAGCAGGAGAAAAAACAACCGGTAATTTGCGATATACGCTTTCCCACGCCCCACCCTTCTTCACCTCGACTCGGCCTCCTCTGCTTCCCGCGGCCACAATCTCTTGACCGGGAAACACCGGCTGCTTGGATTCCACACACCCGAAAGGGGCGGCTCTCTGAGAGCCATTTGTTGGCTGCTGGTGTTGCTTGTTTACACTTCTTTTGATTTCTTCCTTACCTCTCACCACCTCCCCCTCCTTTCACTCAAATACCTGGCTCTGTGCGCCATCTTTGCTTCTTCCTGAGGGGCTGCAG